GACGAGACGTACTTCTAGTTTGGAGAGCCTAACCATTAGGGGCCTTCTGTTACAGTTTGCCAGAGTGTGGACATACGGAACAGCGTGGAAAACTTCAACAGGCTCGAGAATTGCACCGTGGTCGAGGGCTTTGTGCACATCACCCTTATTGACAACGCTGTCGCGGAAAACTTCACCAACATCACGTTTCCCAAACTACGAGAAATACATGGCTACTTGTTTCTGTACCGAGTGAGTGGCTTGCGCTCGCTATCTACCTTGTTTCCAAACCTGGCAGTCATACGCGGCCACGAGCTCATGATGAACTATGCCCTCGTTATCTATGAGATGCAAAACTTGAATGTAAGTCTCTTCAGAAAATAATGCACCGGGTGTTAGTTGACATGCGCTCCAGTGTCGTGGGGCCGCACGCACTGGAGCGCAATCAAAGAAAACACCCGGTATCTTTCAAGTCGCTATCCATAAACGCGGAATTTAAGTAACTTTTCATTCGTTTTACAGGATATCGGTTTAATTTCACTTATGACCATCAAACGAGGATCTATAAGAATTGAGAAGAATCCAGTTTTATGCTATGTTGACACAATTGATTGGTCCTACATATCTTCAGCCGATACATCGGAACATTATATAAAGGTAAAGTTCATCTACAATCTTAACTCTTTTATAAATACTTTAATTATTGTTCGCTCATTTAAAATTTGTGCACCAATTTCCAGAATAACAAACACAGCAACGAATGCCCAAGAAAATGTCCAGATAAATGCCCTGCATCGCCTGCAACAGCTATCAAGATTGCAGGACAAAAGCCAACATCAAATTTATGTTGGACTGATACCCACTGTCAAAAGGGTAATGCCCTTTTAATTTCTTTCCTTATTTTTTTCCTCCTCTTCAATAAACTAAACAAAAAATATTTTGTTCTAGTCTGCAGTCCAAAATGTGAAAAGAATGGATGTCTACCCAATGGAGTATGTTGTCACAGGCAGTGTTTAGGGGGCTGTACTGGTGATCGAAACAACAATTGCATTGCATGCCAAAAAGTTTATTATAGTGGCAGCTGCATAGCAAGTTGTCCCCCAAACCAATTCCAGGTTGGTATTTTCAGTGGCTTTCTTTTTATCTTGTTTGATCAGCTATTAATTTTAACTTTTTACAGTTTTTGGAAAGGCGATGTGTGCTGGCTCATGAATGCCACCAGATGGTGAAACCAAAGGGCTATGAAGGTGAACACAATTATCCATGGCGACCTTTCAATGACTCATGTGTTCTGGAGTGTCCACCAGGCTACTCTGAAAAGCGAATACCTAGTTCTGTTGAAGGGCTCAACGAAACCTTCTCCTGCGAAAAATGCAATGGTTTGTTGCTCTCTCTCTCCTTTTTTTCACAATTTTTTTGCTTCTCTTTTAGCTGTCTCTATTGTTTCAATGATGTATGTTTTTTTGCAGGAACTTGTGAAAAGGAATGTCGGGCTGATCATGTTGACAATATTGCAGCAAGTCAACGTCTCAGAGGATGCACCGTGATAAAAAATTCCTTAGAAATACAGATTCATAAAGGAAGTATGTGTTGAACCATTTTTTTATGTGTATAATTTTTGTACACATTACAATATACTAATTTTGTCAATTTGTCTTATTTTTTTAGAAAACCTCGTGAAGGAACTGGAAGAAAATTTGAAGTCTATTCGTGAAATTCGTGGATACCTCAAGATAACACGCTCAGTACCTCTAGTATCATTAAATTTTCTTAAAAATCTAGAAATAATTCATGGAGAAGACCTGACTGGTGACAAGTATGTGAAAACTATATTTTTTAAAACATTAATCTGTTAGTGGCCATACTGATAAATTTGCTTAACTTTGATTTCAATTGATTACAGATATGCCCTTCTTGTACATGATAATCAAAATCTCCAAAAACTGTGGGATTGGTCGTCAAATTCCACATTTAAAATTTTGAGGGGTAGATTATCCTTTCATTACAACCCAAAGTTGTGCATACAAGAAATTGAAGCATTGAGGAACAAAACAGGCTTAGAAGAATTTAATGATCATGAGGTTTCATCAAATGGTGATAAAGTTGCTTGTAAGTTTCTTGAACCATTGCCTATCTTTTCAGTCTGTTTCTATCCAACGAAACTAGAGTAATAAAGCTGAATTTTAAAACAATTTTTTCCAGGTGACATGGATGTATTAAATGTGACAGTCTCAAAAATAACAGCATTTGCTGTTCTCATTGAATGGAATGCCTGGACTGCTGTACCAGATCCTCGAGCCCTTTTGGGATATGTAGTTTACAGAATTGAAGCACCAACCCGCAATGTGACACTTTATGAGAGTCGGGATGCGTGTGGGGGAGACGGGTGGTCTGTGGATGATGTCTCAGTTCCTGATAATTACACTATGAATGATAAACCAAATGTGACTCATATAGTCACAAATCTCAGTCCATACACTCAATATGCCTCTTATGTCCGCACCTATACCATTGCCCGAGGATCATCAAGTATAAAAGGAGCACAGAGCAAAATTATTTACTTTCGAACCTTACCTAATGTACCTACAACACCTAAAGACTTGAGTGCTGCTTCGAACTCAAGTTCTGAAATTGTTGTTAGCTGGAAACCATCTTATCCACCCAATGGCAATGTAACAAAGTATATAGTTCAGGGTGTTATGGAAGAAGACAAACCAGACAGAAGTAACTACTGTGATGACCGTGAGTATTATAAATTCAGACTATCAGCACATTGTTTACTGTTAACTTTTCAAAAGACAAAACTAGAGGTGCTAAAATTTTGTTGGATTGATTGTTTTTAAATTAACAAAGTTGTTTTTTATCTGTTTTAAGCTTTGACTGAGCGCACTACTGACCGCACTGAAATCTCAAGTATTCCAATTCTCCCAACCAAACCTCCCCCAGGAGAAGAGAAGCAAGGTGAATCTGAAAGTTGCTCATGCAAGGATAACAGTGAATCTGGAAAAAGAGACAAGGAAATTGACAGTGAAAATGCTGCAAACTTTGAAGACCAAGTACATAACATGATTTATATTCGAAGGTAAGTTTGTTTAAAGGGGAAAGAACATCATGTCTTTTCCATTATGAAACCACTTTGTACCATTTTGTATAGACTCCCGTCTGAACCCATCTTTCTTTATCATTCTAGGGCAGGTCAAAGGGAACAGAGCGGAAGAAATAGCGAGAAAAGGAAGAAACGAACTTTAAACAGACAAATAACTGATGAGGCATATTTACGATACAAAAGATCAATTGGTGACTCTGTCCCAGAAAAATTTCCTTCTGATACTGTCCCACAAATTTCAGCAAACAGTCAAAATGTTCAAGATAACTGCTCTGTGGGTAAGTGTTATACCAAATTTCTTTCTGAAATGTGTTTATTTTTCTGAAGTTCGTTTGTTACCAATTTTGTAGTTTCAGATGTCTGTTATACTTTAAATCGAGAAGTATATGGAGGAGCAACAACTTTTGTGCTAAAACGTCTACACCACTTTGCTCGCTATTCAATTAAAGTAATTGCATGCCGTGAACTTGATCCTTCAGAAGAACCTGGCAAAACTCAAAATTGTAGTCCAGCTGCTATTATCCAGCACCGCACCTTACCAGAACGTAAATATATTAAGCTTCACAACTGAGCTTTTTATTATGGTTAACAATGTTTCTGGTTTTAATTTTTAACTCTGATTACTTCAGCTACAAGAGATACTATCCCGGATGTTGTCCTTAAAGAAAATAATGGCACCCGGTTTTTCGAATGGCGACCTCCTTTGGATCCTAATGGCATGATTGTGAAATATGATATTCAAATCCAGCCTGAAAATGTTGAAACTGTGCGTGTAACTTGTAGTATTTTTTTTTTCTGTTTTTGTTTAACATTTTGGTTAAGTTAGACTTTATATACTTATCAAAATTCCAGGGTGCTCATCGTCTTCATTGTTTGTCAAGAGGTAACACCTCATTTACTCTGCCCAATTTGCCACCTGGAAACTATAGCTTTCAAGTGAGGGCTACTTCCATCAATGGCCCTGGCAATTACACTAAGAAACAGTTTTTCTTTGTTGTAAGTATGCTTGATGACATTGTTTTTTCATCTATTGTGTGTACAGCAAAATTCACAATCAATTTTATCTGTTTTAATTTTTTTTTTTCCCAGGAGGAGCCATCAACTACCAGCACACAGACTGTGTTCTATGTAGTGCTTGGTGTTCTTTGCTTCTGCCTTGTGGGTGGTGTGGTTGTTTACTATGCAAGAAAGATATGGTGCCCTTCACAAGTACCAAGAAAACTTATTCCAAACATTAATCCGGATTATCATAGTGCAACCTATATTCCTGATGAGTGGGAAGTGCCTCGGGAACATATACAAATTTTAAAAGAGCTTGGACAGGGATCATTTGGAATGGTCTACGAAGGCATTATTCAAAGCTGTCCTCGCACTGGAAATAGACAGGACAGTTGTGCTATTAAGACTGTCAATGAAAATTCTAATGATCGCGAACGAATTGAGTTCCTTAATGAAGCTTCTGTAATGAAGTAAGTTTTGACAAGTTTAAGTTTTGTCTGATGGATTCATATTTACTTAGGAGGACTTCTAATGCCTCTATACCATGTTCCAGGGGATTCAAGACATACCATGTAGTTCGCTTGCTAGGTGTTGTCTCTCAAGGACAGCCCACACTAGTAGTGATGGAACTTATGGCGCAAGGTGATCTTAAAAGTTACTTAAGAAAACATCGTCCGGATGAAACAGATGATCCAGAAGTTCAGCCTCCAACGTTAAAGGTATTAACAGTGTAGAATTATTCATCTTGAGTCGCTAGAATACTTACACTAGTGCCATTTGATTTCTAATTGATGATCTGTTGTCCTCAGAGAATATTACGCTGGGCAATGGAGATAGCAGACGGTATGGCCTATTTGTCTGCTAAAAAATTTGTACACAGAGACTTGGCAGCTCGTAATTGTATGGTAGCAGATGATATGACAGTGAAAATTGGAGACTTTGGAATGACGAGAGATATTTATGAGACAGAGTACTATAGAAAAGGTAGCAGAGGCCTGATGCCTGTTAGATGGATGGCACCAGAAAGTTTAAAAGATGGAGTCTTTACAAGTGCCTCTGATGTTTGGAGCTATGGAGTTGTTCTCTGGGAAATGGCCACTTTGGCTTCTCAACCTTATCAGGTATGGAGTGTTGTTAACTACCCATGTAATTTTTGAATTTTTCTCTCTATAGTTTGATTTTTATTCTTTTTTCTTTTTTTTTTTTTTTTTTTTCAATCTGTCTAGGTTTCTCTGTGATTTTGGTTAATTCCCTATCCTGCTCTTTATTTTTGTTTCTTTTGCTGGTCCGTTGTT